CTTACGAGCAGAAAGTGAACAGGTAGGCTAGGAACTGAACTGCTGCTTGCTGTGTTTCAGGTGACTGCCACAAAATCCTCAGTGTGGCATTCAGGAACCACCGAGAGCCGAGACGTACAGTGGCTTTGCATTGTTCTGGGTCTTGAGGGAGCTGCGTGGTCTTGTGTCCTGGCACCTCCCGGGTGGTATGGCTCACTCTGACCAGCTAGGATAAAGCTTCTGAAAATACTCGCAGTCGCAAGGCTGCTGGAAGGGAAGAGGCAAATTAAGGACAGGAACACTTACAATTACTGTGTTTCAGAAATTTTTTAATTTTTTTTTTTTTTTGGTAACTGGGAACTAAAAAGCAGAGGTTCGGCAAAAGCGTATGATAAACACCACTAAAACCACCTGATGCTTTCCCATTAACCATATTAACCATCCCATTAAGCAGCAGCCGCTCTTAAGTTGTCAGTGGGCTTAAATCTGCTCCTGGCAGATGTCGTAACTAAATGCTTCACAGGTCTTCTGCACGAGCTGTATTGTAGAGACAAAGCCCAGGACCTTACAAGGACATGGCATGTTGTAGAAGGATTTTCAGAGGGTGGTCAGGAGAGTAGCATCGTTTCATCTGATTCCAGCTTCTTCAGCCTGTCCCAATTTGGAAGTGGGAAGATCGGATCAGAGGCAGTAAATCTCCTGACGGCAGAGGAAAAAGTGGTTGCCCTTCTTTTCTTCTAAAGTGCTTTCAGTCACCCCGGTAATGGGACTTGGCAGGGATCTACCAGTACGTTTCTGACCTTGCGTGGTCTTCCTTTGTGCAGGACTCTCCTGGTCCGCATGAGACGGCCGCGTTGCTCCCCAAAGGCTGAAGTTCCTCTGTACTCAGCCGCTTCCCCACTTCCCACTGGCTTCCCCTTGGGTCGCAGAGAGGAGGAACAGGCACATCCATAGAAAAGCTGAGCTGGAGCTCTCTTCTCTACCTGTGTGACACCACTCCTCTGGCACCCTGATCCTCCAGGCTTTTCTTTGGCTGCTTTGGTGGTTGTCGGTCTGTCCTGGTTGTCTGACCCTGCCCAGACAACCCCCTGTTGGGCTGCTGTGCTGGTAGGTGACATGCTGGGGAAGAGGCTGTCCTGAAAAGCTATACGGGTAAATGAGGCTGAGGGCAGTTTTCCGTGTGACCCCTGATTTGAACACAATAGCCTTGGGATGAGGCAGATGACATCAGAGGGATGCTCCCCTGGAGCAGCTCCTGCAGAGCTCTTGGAAACACTAGAGGATTTTGTTTTGTTGTTTTTTGTGTTTGGTTTTTTTGTTTTTTTTTAAAGTAGACTGGAGGTGCTCAGTGTCTACTGAATCCAGCCAAAGGTGTCTGGAACTGACCACCAAGGATGAGGTGCATACCTGTGGGATCTGTGTGTTGAGCCATGAAGCTGAAAGTCCCCAACTCGAGCTCTGCTACTGTACACACCTCGCTTGGTTTCACTGCCTCTCTCTCCCAGTCAGAGAAATGGGAAATCTGGATTTAGTCTCTGACTGCGTTCTGGCTGTGTGATCTCGAGGCGAGACATTTAATCTCTTCTTTTCCCTTGTCAGTTAAGCTGGAAGCATCCAGGCCAACTTGACAGTGGACTGTCGGGATTACTGAGTTTGTTTGCTCAGTGCTGTAGAAATCTAAAGCGTGAAATTAGTGTTTACGAGGCATTTGCTGCAGCTTAGTGAAGCAAAAAGCATGTTTCGGCATCCCAAGCTGTGCAGCCTCCCCAGAGCTCAGAGGAGGTTCTTGGCATTCCAGGGCGAGAAGAACAAGAGAGCATGGCACATGCCTTTCGAGTGCTGAGAGAGATGGAGGCTTGAGGAAAACGAAAGATGAGAGCCGTGTGTTAGAAACACTGTTTTGTGTCCTTAGAGCTGTGGGTTTGGTTACAGGCAGGATCACAAATCTCATTTGTTCCTTCCCATGTACTGCCTGCGTTTCCCTGGCAAGACCTGGAAAGCTGAAGGGCTTATTATGCAGCACTGCCGTTAAAGTGCTCATGATTTATATTTGAAGAATCCAGGAATTTGCTCTGGTTTTAGCTGTACGGTGCACCCTTCCCCCTTCCCTGGGTCTGCTGTGCTCCCTGGCAGCTGCCCTAAACCCTAGAGTGCTTAGTGGCTCTGTATGTATCTAATTAGGCAAGTACTTGGGATGTTACTTGGATGGAAATATTACTCCAGGATATGCTACAACGCTGGGGTTTGCTGAGTCAAGACAGTTGTTCAACTGGGATAGCCGGTCTCGCCTATTCTTACGTCCGATCCCTTGGACTGGTTTGTTGTCGGGAGAGGCGCCTGAGCAGAGCTGGATGAAAGTCTGCTGAGATCAGGGCAAGGAAATAATGTGACGTGCAGCCACATGTCGTGGAGCTGTGAGATGGCAAGTTCTGGTCTTTCTGCAGAGGAGGCAGTTTATAGAGAGGAAAGGGGTATGTCTGGGGTGACTTTTCCCCCATGCCTGAGAGGCCATGCTCCTTTCACAGCGATACAGGGGACGTGCCCGGAGCTGCAGGGAGTGCTCATGTCAGGAGTGATGGAGATCAGCGTGGTCCTGCTTGGCTTGTTTGGAGAAGGAGCCGGAAAACGCAGTGGAAAGGAACTGAATAAACCGTGATCTCTGGGGCCTCGTGCTGAGGGACTTCAGTATCTTGGGTAAAAGCTAAGAGTCTGCAATCCTACATTAGTGGAAAAAAGTCTTCTATTCCCTTGCTGGTTGGTAGCCCTCCTGCTACATCTTGAGCTTCACGTCCTCTCTGCTGGCATCTGCTTTCACAGGTAGATTTGCCTTGGTTTACTAAAAACGGCTTTGGTTCGCTGGGGCAGAGTGGAATGGACATGAGCGGAAGGGACGTGATGTTTTGTCTGTCAAAAAATACTCGCCTAGCCCAGGCCACCAAGGAGTGTTTGAGCTTCCAGCTGCACCACTCCCATATCCTGAGAGTGAGGGCATTCAAAATGAAGGTCATGAATGTTTAGAGGGCAGTTGATATATAATTTTGCTGTCATCGCTTCTCCTGTGTTCCCAAGCTGGTATTTTCTTTAAAAGGAAAAAAAAAAAAAGTACAGCAGGGTTAAAGGAGTTCTCTAGGAAAAAACAAAACAAAACACAACACGACTTAGGGAAAAGACATCTCCCAGTGGAAACTAGTCATAAGTACAAAAAAGGCACTAGTTTTCAAATCAAAGCAAAGGCTGGGGCTGAAGCCTTTTCTCACCAGAGTGTAGAAAGGGAAAACTTGCGGTATTTTGAACAGGCTGAGTTCTGTGCGTGTATCATGTCATAGAATGGTTTGGGTTAGAAGGGACCTTTAAAGCTCACCCAGTTCCAACCACCCTGCCACGGGCAGGGACACCTTCCACCAGACCAGGGTGCTCAAAGCCCCATCCCACCTGGCCTTGAACACTTCCTGGGATGGGACATCCACAATGTATTTCCGTGAGCTTTCAGAAAGGTGCTTAATACAGAGCTGAACATCCAGCCCATCTTCCGTGTGTCTGCCGCATTCGCTCCCGCAGCGGCGAGCGGCTGCAGTTTCGTTTATCTGGGAGGAAACGACACCGGCAGCCTCTTGCTTTTGAACGGAGGAAGTGTAATTTTATGGTGGTGCAGGGAGCTGGGAAAATCTTCCTGAGCTCATCACAGACTTCCTCTGCAGCATTGGGAAAGGCGCGCGAGGGGCTTTGAGAAGGGGCCGGTTGCCCTGCGGTGCGACGCCGGGGCGGGTTGGATCGGTGTTACAGGAAAAGGCAATAAAATCCCAAGGAGGACGGAGGAAGGGAGGCTCCTGCAGCCCCTCTCCACTGGTGCACGGCTGAGGATTCACCATCTCGCCCGATTCTTGCACAGCACCTTTGGAGTGGGGGACACGCTCTTCACCTCTAATCTGAATTTTTCTTTCTGGGTTGGTTTCCTAAGCTTTGACACCTCTCTCTGGGCCATTGAGGTGGCTTCGCCTGACCCTAAACCTCTCTGGGCTGTCCCCTCCTCTGTGAATCTAGCTCACAGGCAGACCGAGCTGCTGTCTGAGGTTTTTTCGGTAACAAAGGTGAGATCTTTGGCAGGAAGGGGCTGTAATCGGTTTAGCGTGCTGCTGTTTTCACACACCATACCCACGCGCGTATGCAAAAGGCATAACTTCACTCCTTCCTCTATTTCTCTCCTTCTATTGAAAACCTGCAGACTGCTTTAACCCTCTGCTCCGCTGACAAAAGCAGCTTGTCAATCCCTGTGGCCGGACTGATTCGATCCCCCGAAGGGATCCAGGGGAACAAGTGAAATGCCACAACGTGCCTGGATCGGGATCTTCTGGGGTTCCTCTCTGTGCCCCGAGCACCTTGCATTCAGTAAGCTGCCTCGCTGTAAAGGCGGCAGCCGAGGGTGGTTTGCTGTGTACTGCGAGTGTTGGGGGGCAAGCAAGGACAGAAGTGCAGTTTAAGACCTTCTGTGTCACCCCAAATCCTGGGGTGACCTCAGATTCCTTAAGGTGGTGCAGGGAGGTTTGCCTAAAGACCCTTGTAGGAGGGAGAGATCTTGGGCAGGTGGCTATTTCTTCTGAGGTGCGGAATCTGCTTCCCCGTCCTCCTCCTGCTGTTGTGGCCGCTGGCCTTGGAGGGGCAAGTTTGGGGTGATGTCGTGCACCCCTCGGCGCAGCGGTGTGTGGTGCTAATCGGAACGTGGCCCTGGTATTTCTGCAGCCTTTAATCGCAAGGGCAGAAGCAGCGATAACGAGAGATGAGAATGACATTTTAATTTCCTGGTCACCACCCATTTGGGAGTTGCTTTCTTTTTTTAATTGCAATTTCCCTTTGGTTTCTTTGTCCCATTACATCTTGAAATCTACTTTGACAAGGTCTTGTTTATCTAGGGTCTTATATGTTGAGTTGTTGTAAGTTTGGCTGTCCTGAGAACCTGCGGGTGGTGGCATTGGGGCACTTTTCCTCTGCACCTCATGTGGCTTTTTTGTGCTTTCTCATTTCAGAGACTTTGATTCTCTCTCCAAGGATGATGTCTATGAGAATAACCGCTTGGTAAGTCCCTATTATACAGCGCACAGAAGGAAGAAGGGACATGAGAATGACTTGATGGAGGTCATGTGGTGTGGGAGGGCTTTTTGACGGTGGTGAGGGTGTAAGAAAAATCTGTGTTTGTAAGTAACAGGCAGGAGCTTCCCTGGAAACATAAGACAATCTGAAACATCAGCTTCCAGCCTGTACTGAAGGGAAGATAAGATGGTTATTCTGATAGCTGCCAGGACAACATCTCAGGTGAAGATTAAAATGATGCAACATCTTCTTGACCTCAGCTGTTCCAGACTTGCAGGCAATGGAAGCAAGAAGCTAGTTTTACTCCAGGCATAAGCAGAGAGGAAGGTCATGCTGGACCCAGGCTGGTCTGCAATGTTTCCTTCCTGCTTGGGACAGCTGGAGCCAACAGCAGAATCAGGCAGTGGGGAATGAGAAGATGCCCAACCCTAGGGGCTAGGGGTAGGACAGGGCAGCAATAGCCTTGGGTTTTTTGCTGAGAGAAAGACCTAATTGCTGCAGGCTCCATCTGATAGTCTGTGGAGAGATGTGGGCCATCACTTTCCCAAGATGAGATGAGATAGGTCATTTGGGTTTTCAGGATTAGGGCTCTCCAGTTGGGTCCTGGCTGCACCCTTTCCTAGACCAGTAGGCCCCTTTCAGCCATTAGCAGCCATCTTTTCCCATTTGAGAGCCACACAGTGGGTTTCTTGTCCTATTAGTGACCCTGAAGCTGGGGTCTCTCCGTGCTCCCTACTGCTTGAAGCAGCCTTGTGTTCAGCAAGGCTCAGTCCAAAGAACCAGCTTAAAGCCAGGCTGAGCAGAGCTGGGTGTCCACAGGGGGCATTTTACACCCCTAGTTACTGCAAATATCAGTTTTGATTTATTTCTCCATTCCTTTTCTTTAGATCCTACACCCTGCACAGCATCTTGTACCCCAGAAACCAGGCACTGTCAGTGTTTACCCACACCCCGCACCTGGTTCCTGACCATTCAGTGCCCACACCACTCCCATCCCCTCCTGACTCACTTTGTCTTCAGTCCCTGCCGTAGTCTCACATCCTCCCTCCCTTGGAGATCGATGAGAGTACGCTCCCCCTGACACAGCAGCGAGATGGCCAGTGTATAGCCAGTAACCCGCACGCACTGCTAAGTGGGAAGCTCTCAAACAGCTATTTTCCTCCTTTGCTCCTTCCTTTCAAATAGCCATGTATGCAGGAGCTATGTGCTTCTTATCACAATGTCCTTGTCCTTTCTGCTTGCTGAGACACAGAAAAGTACTGAAGTGGCTTGTGCGTGGCAGGCTGCTGACTGTTGAGCCGGGATGGCTATGTTAACTGTGGGAGGGGAAGATGTGGCATGAGAGGATGGGCAGAGTCAGTGTTTCTGTGGGGTGAGCATTTGGGGTGGCTGGGGACACTGCTCAGTAGAGCGGATGTTTGGCTGTGTTGCTGGAAGTATCTGCCAGCCCTAGGTCCCTCACGGTGCCAGCCAAAGCTCTGCTGGGCTCTTGTGCGAGGGCACTGGTGGTGTGCCCATTTCACAGGCTGAAAAAACACTGGGCATTTTTCAGACCTCATGAGAGTTACCCTCCTTGTCCCAGTGCAGCAGCCGAATGCCAAGACCCCTCAGGTGGGAGTTGCAGGGGCACAGGGAGCTGAAATAACGTGGAGGAAAGGGCAGCTGCAGCATCTTGTTCCCTTGCTTCTGATGCCACCTTTCCAGTTAAGTGGCATGTCTGGGAGCCTCTGTCCATCAGGGATGCCATAGGCTTACTACTTAACCTTCCTTGGGGTCCTTCCAACTCTGTTATTTTTCAGAGAGCATCAGTTTTCTCTCCTTAATGCCTCCTTCTACTGTTCCTGCAGGCTTTTGAATTGGCAGAGCGGGAGCTGGGCATCCCAGCCCTGCTAGATCCCAATGACATGGTCTCCATGAAAGTCCCCGACTGCCTCAGCATCATGACTTACGTGTCTCAGTATTACAACCACTTCAACAACCCCAGCCAAGGTGAGTGTCCTTCCATCCCTCTGGCTTCCATGTGTGTTTGTGGGGAAGGGGAGAGGAGTGGATCGTGCCTGCCTGTCCTGGATTTTGCTGGTGCTGGTGAGGAAGGCCTGGAACAGGGAGTGGAGTCACAAGAAATGGGGTGTGATTTAACAGCTCAGGCTGCGGAAAGAGGAACGCCTTATTTCTCCTCCCTCCGCGCTGCCTTCCTGCCGCTTGGGTTGGGCCACCACCCCTAGGGCTCATCAGACCCCTTTGTCATCTGCTTTAACCCACTAAAATGGGAGACACCTAGATAGGCAGCCTGCCTACCGCAGCTCATTTTTATCACATCGGTAAGAGTAAAGCAAGTGTAAAGAAGGGAGCCAGGGTGGAGTGTCTCAAATCTGCTCATCTGTCCTTGCAACTGCAACCTCAGCTGAGTGCTGCTCAGAGACAGCTCTTCCAGGGCATCCCTGCTGGGTGGGGACAAGGGCTCCAGGTCTCTGCTCCGCTCTCTAACCACGACATCAGATAAATCTCTTCCACGTGCGTATACTTCTCCAGGGATGCTGGCCTCCCAGACAAGGATTCTTTCTGGGGACTGGTGTATGAGTGCCAGCCCTGATGGGCAAGAGATGCTTCGCAAACCTGCTGACAGCCCAGAAATCCTGGGATCCAGTGGGTCACAACAATACATCAGCAGCTACCCGGGGTGCTCTGGGCTTTAAGCATTGCTTAGGGAGTTGGTTACAAGGAAGCCAAGCAGCATTTGATGAGTAAATCAAATGACAGTGAGAGGTTGATATCCCTGGGCCACAGAAGGGGATCCACAGCAGGGCCAGGCGCTCTGGCAGCCTTGCAGCCAACCCGTTATTAGATTATCTTTGTCTCTTCCACCTAAAATAGGCACTGAAGTGTTGGGAGTGGCAAGTCCCATCCTATGTCACAAGGCTAGATGATTTTTTTTTTTTTCCTCCTCCCCTTCCCCCACATGGGTGGTGTGAGTCACTGCTCCTCTCCGAGCCTGATCCTCCTTGCTTTCTGCCTCCAGCCAGAGTCCCTCCGCCTATGAAGCGCCCAGCTGCTGCCTCCTCGCCGCCTCTGCTGTCCCACAAGAAGCCTGTGGCTGCGGTCGAGAGTCCCCCAGCACCACAGGTAACTTAATTTCTCAGTTCAAAGCCAGCCAGAGGCAGTGGTGTTCCCTGCGCTGTGGATGAGGAGATGGGAGAGAGCCCATCACAGCGGGGTGGGTCTTTGCTAGAGGCTACCTGTGTGTTTTGGAGTGGGAGGGATGTTTGGGATTTTAGTGCCTTGGGGGACCCGGCTGAGAAAGTGATTTCTCTCTACGACTCTGTGGACTGAAATTTGTTCATGACAGGCAAGAGGTTGGGTGGGTTGGTGCCAGGATAGTTTCTTGAGCCACCCAGGGCACAAGCACCCTCCTTCCTATGGGAGGATAACCCTTTAGATGTTTTTGAATGTGGGATTAGAAGAGCAGAAAAGATGCCTTTTTCTTTCTTGGCCCTTTATTTCGGGTTTTAGCAGATGTCTGGGATGGCACATTTTCCAAAGAGAGGGGATTCCTCTTGCAGGTCCCTTGCTGCCTGGGGTTTAGATTACTCCCTTCCACATCCCTTCAGCCCTAGACAGGGCAAGGCACCTTTTGGAGTGGCCCCTTCTAATTTAGGAAGAGGCAGCCTGCCTGTGCCTGGACTTGGGGACAGCTGGTCTGTGCATTATCAGACCCTGAGGTCAGCCCCACAAGCACTCAACAATGGGCCATGCACAGAGAGCAGCTGCTCTGGAGGAGCTGTGGGCTGGGGAGCAGCTCGTGGCCGCCATTCTGAGCTCCTCGTGTGTTGTCTCTCAGGACGATGGCCCCTTGGACCCATCGGAGCGATCCCAGCGCACCACGCTCAGCAGTACCTGCGCAGCATGCCAGCAGCACGTCCATCTGGTCCAGCGCTACCTGGCCGAGGGCAAGCTCTACCACCGCCAGTGCTTTAGGT